AATACCACCACCAACAAGGGTATCTTGGCACACATGGGTTTCCATGCTTTTTTTTATTTTTCATGCCCTGATAATGCTAATTTTATTGCTTTCTACTTCTTTCTATCTGGGATCCATTTGTAAGCTTTGAGGATGGATTGAAGCTGGTCAAGCTACGAGGAGAGGCCATGCAGGTGCTCATTGAAAGATTATTTCACTGTGCAATTGTTTTCAAAGCCAGACTGCTGACTATACTGTTAAATGGCTTTCCGGATTTCCTTAGGAAGCAGCTGATGCTGCTAAAAGTGCCATGGTCAGTGTTATAGGGCTGGATTCAGAAAAGGTGCTACTGTTATGTGAAGCTGCTAACGCAGAAGTGGATGAGGAAAATAAAGTTCAGAGTGCAAATTTCTTATGTCCTGCAAGACTAAGTCTTCTCGACTGATAAACCTGGCTATTTAAATTGGCTGGGCCTTGACATAGACTAAGCTTTAATATTTCAGGGTAACTATGCTGTCTCTGGTGGTATAAAAGGAATTGAAGCAGTAGAGGCCAAGGCAAAGTCATTCAAGGCTCGGATGACGGTGAGATCTCTCTACTGCTTTTTGTTTTCCAATTGATCCTCTCTGTTTTAGAATTTTGCAGAGGCTTCAGGGTATAATAAACTATTGGTGGGTAAACTTGATGCCTCAGATACTTAGCAGACATAAGTTAGTGAACAAGTTCCAAGGAGTTAATCCTACTTAATGCCCTGCTAAGGCTGGCAGACTACCTATCTGAAGAAGCAAATTTTCTGTATCAACATTTACTTATCCCAGGTACGACTAGCTGTTGCCGGTGCTTTCCTCACCAGTTTTATGGAACCACATGTTTCAAGATTGGAAGCTGCATTGGCAGCAACAGAAATCAGAACCCCCGGGATACCAGTCATATCAAATGTAGATGCCAAGCCACATGCAAACCCTGATACAATTAAGAAGATATTGGCACACCAAGTGAGCCTCTTGAAATTTGAACGTCTCCTTGTTTTCAGTTTGTTTTGGTAATTAATTAAACTTCTAACCCGAAAGCCCAGATGACTTCTCCGGTTCAATGGGAGACAAAAGTGAAGGATCTCCTAACTAAAGGGCTCAAGAAGAGCTATGAGTAGGACCTGGAAAGGTAGGCATTCGGGCAGGAAACTGTTCTGATGTTTTTTTGTCAAAGCAGCAGCAACAAAGGCATCTTAGTGAAGGGATTTAATATTATCCCTAGCTTTTATGTTCATAATTAGTTTGTGCTGGATTGTTTTATCAGGTTATTGCTGGTATTGTGAAAAGGATGGATAAAAGTGCTGATATTGAGAACATTGGTGCTTAAGGAACCGGTGCTTGCCTGTCTGTTGAAGCCTCAGGCTTTCTTCATGGTTTATATCCAAGTGAAATTGCCCATGAAGATGATTGGCATGAAGGGCTCTTGATTTCTCAACAGCTGGGTGCCTGGGTCTGTACTTGTAATACAGCTGACAATACCAAACAAAGAATGACATGACCATGTAGAACATATGATGCAGAGGCACTTGGATGGCGGATTGCCAAGGACTTGCTCTCCCATCTTGAGATTTTGTCGGTTGTAATGGATAATTGAACCAAATTTATTTATCATATCAATTATATTTTCATATTACTTCATTGTTGAGAACCAGCCAAGCCAATTCAGGCATTTTACCTTTTGAGGCTGAATTACCTTTAGTGATCATCGGGATAATCTGCTTGTCTGCCTGATGATCACTGGTTAGCTCAATATGCCTTCTCTGCTCATCACTGAAGGCAAGATAAAGCAAAGTCATAAACTCAATATTAATATAATATATGCCTTGATGTGGAAAGTAGGTTTATATTTATGAATAGTATGTATTATGCATGTATAAATGTACTTGTATACATAACAAACCAATCGACTTTGGTTTGTTTGAGCATGTGGAAATGATGTTTTAGGCCAATTTTTTTCTATTGATAGAAGATGGGTGGTGCAATTTAATTTAGAAAATACTACTGATCACCTGATTAATTTTTCATGATTAAGATTCCCTGTAATAACCCATTTAGCGAATATCTGGAGTTGAAACATGCTCTCTCTCTTTCAGATGGAATCAGGCTCCTGGTCATATAATCAGGTTTACATCTCATGTGGCTAGATGGTCGGAGAGAAGGAGATCCCCGCACCACCATCAAAGCAACCTTTAGACCTAAATTCATGGTTTAAAGTATCGATACGATATGCCCTGTATCGGACGTATCATATCGTATTTTTTGAAAAAAATATGCTCCAAAACGTCTGTTTTCATATGTTTCGGAACCCTAATCTTTTTTAATAATAGAAAATATGTTTTTAGCTTTCCAAAAAACCAAATTTTGAAAAAAAAAACTAAAAAAATAAAGTTTCGGCCATTTCTAAGTACTGATACAATACTGCCGATATACGTATCCTATCGATACTTTGAACCTTCGACCTAATAACATTGGCAACTAATATAATATCACCAGTGGAAAGCGCCACCACAAGGCTGATATTGACCGTGGACTAGATAATCGACATCTGATAGGAATGGTTGTCAAGTAGTAGTAGTAGTAGGGGACCATTGCCGCCGTCTCTAGACATCGCCACATAGCATGATTAGCCTTTTACTCAACTCTAGGAAGTCAATTTTCAAGTATAACGACTTCCATGTTCTATCCACTTATGAGCAATGTGTTTAACAAGACCGGGGTGGAATGTTGAATCTTGGCAGTGCCCTGAACCAGTTCTGTTCAATTAGGGATGGCAATTTCCCATCCCCAATGGGTATCTGACTTCTCATACCCCCATTGGGTCGGAGATGGGGATTGCTTTGGCGAGGTGAGGACAGAAAATAATAAAGATCCCCAATCCACTTATGAACAATGTGGTTAACAAGACTGGAGCGAAATGTTGAATCTTGGCAGTGCCCTGAACCAGTTCGGTTCAATTAAGCCATGTTTGGTTTGAAAGAAAAAGTAGGGAAAGGTTGTATAGGTTTCCCTACCTTTCCCCATCCCCAACAGGTATCTGACTTCTCAGACCCAAGGTTCAAAATATCAACACAGGCCAATACGTCGATAGGGCATATCGGCTTGTATCAGTACTTTTTTAAGTTTTTTGTTTTGAAACCAGTTCAGAGGGGTCGATTTGGCCCGACTACCCTCTGAATCAATTCGGACCCGATACAATCCCTAGAAGGGCGTATCAGGAAGCCATCGACACGATACGGGCCGATATATATTGATACTTTGAACCTTGCTCAGACCCCATCGGGTCAGAGATGGGGATTGCTTTGGTAGGGTGGGGGCAAGGACTATAGTATTTTTCAAAAATACTGTCAACTAAAAAAATTCGGGGATTTGGGTCCCTGCAGGGAACCCATCCCCGTTGGGGATCGGGGATGGGCAACTTTTATCCCCGACGGGAATTGGGGTAGGGGAAAGGAAATATGATCCCCGCCCCATTGCCATTCCTAGTTCAACCATTCAGTTGTACCGGGTTTTTAACTTTTCAATACAAATTGGACAAGATTTCCATAAATATTCTGTTATTGTTTTCACTTTCCTGTAAAGCTTTGGTATATTTAGCAAGCACACGCCAAAATTCTTTCACTCACACCATAAATAGTACAATAACATGCAAAAGCTTTAGCATGGATATGCCTTTGGTACAATTTTGAGAAGAGATCGGCCTCAGTCCACACTGAAAATTCATTATATCAATATTTTAGAGAAAAAATTTAGAAATTTTCCTTGTGTAAAGAATGTTCATTCATATGAAAACCATAACCAAAACCCCAGGTGGCAATGCTGAATCAGTTTAAGTAGAGTTTGAGTGATTATCAAGCTGTTACATCACCACCCATCATCTGCACCACAACAAAATATTCATACAACAGTATTAGGAACCAGAATCCCACCGACGTATTAGAACTAGTAAATGTAAAGGCTACATTTAGAAATTGATACTCTTCATTCATTCTTTTCCCAGATTTCTGTTCTGAATTTCATGGATAACAGAATTTGATCTCAACAAACAATGATATCCAAAAAGAAAATTGATTGGCATCATTTGCTAACCAACTCAATGGCAATAAAATTCTCCACATTGTACTAATTAATCCTAAAACAACCTACAAGAGTTCATCACCATGCGCTCAAGACATCAAATATTCAGTTATAACACCTTGTAAGTGGGCAAGAATAAGTGATATGATGCAATAGTCCTCGATTTAACATATTCCTATAAAGAGGCCAATACCCAATGTTGATCCCAGCTAATATGGGGTCTCGGAGCCAACCCTTTTTTTTCACAAAGGATCTCAGGAGGTTAGGAGAAAACTTTGGCTGTTGGGGAGCTTCTTTTGCATGACGCATCAACCCATTCAGTCCCCTGTTTGTCTTTTTGGTCAAAAGAATATCGAGGGTGATTACTCTTTTACCCCATACCCATGGTAATGTGTCATGTCCAAGAATGTTTCCAACAGCCAAAGCTTTTCCGGAAGTTAACATGTTATCAAGTCCCCCAATGTTCTAAGTGATGCAAGTCCAATTTCCCGGGAAGCCCACAAGGTCACATACTTTTGTTTGACCGAGATGGATCTCATATATCATTAGTATCCTCCATTACCCCATTAAGACAATTAGGGAATTCAAACCATGATGATTCTGAATATGTGTGTGTGTGTGTCAGAGAGGTTGCTTCTTAATCTAAAAGAAATTCTCAAGGCATCTATCAAAAAAAAAAAAAAAAGAAATTCTCAAGGCCATACACCTTTATAATGACCCTTAAGTTGTCAAGCTGTTCTGTGCTCATCCCTGCTACTTTGAGAAACATGCTTGCCATTGGCATTGTGGTGTGAAAATGACATTTCAACTGGAACCCCTAGGGGAAAAACTACCCAGCATTACCATTAGTTTTCAAGTCACCAGTTTATCAATAAATGCCCAATTCGGTGACCCTCTGTGACCCTTGCAAGTGTTTCAAGGTCTCCATTTGGTGCACCAGAAATGTCATGATGTTTAAAAGGTACATGGGATACACAATACTCCCTCTGGTTTCTGATGTTGCCACCATTCAACCACCACGGGAGGACAGGATCCATACTTTTGGAAGATACTACCAAAGATGTAGGTAAAAAACCCTCATTTTTCAACCATCATACATAAGCTATTGGATGTCTTTCAAGCATTAAGCATTTCTATCTTAGGGATTACTGAGGGCTTGAGGATGGTTTTCATACAGGCTACATATCTTTATATGGGAATAACTTATATTTCAAGTTACTTGGAGAAGAAATTGATTTGTCACCTTAAAGATATCCCCAAACATCCCTTGGAGGGGAGTTCTACGCCGTACTCCATAAAATTTCTCTGCAATCACATCTAGCAACTAAAGACCAACAATGTGTTAGAATTCATCATATATAACAGTCAGACAAAACTGAAAATTTTAACAATTTTAAAATATTGAAGCCAGACAATAGTTATATAAAGAAAGCAGTAAAATTCTGGTAGAAAACCTGAAATCTTTCAACACAGAAAATCAAAAGGAAAGTATAGGAAAAGAAAAGCAAAACAAAGAATAAAAAGAAAAAATGCTGTGCAAAGGAGTTTAAAAAGAAAGAAAAAAGGAAATCAGTAAGTGAGGTGCTTCTGAAACAATAGCACTTCCAATAAACGTCTTAGCTATGAAAGGAATATACCTCTTCAAGTGCAGGTTCTCTTTCTATGCTTGACTTATAATTTTGTCTCAAAATATTAAAAAGCGGAAAAGCATCTCTTTCCAAGCTGCAGTGTAATACATATTAGTTCAATTCAGTGTTTATGATCTTCACTCTACCTGTGAAAAGTATAACATCTAACAAGAATAAACTCAGGATTTCCTAACAACAATATGGAAAAGAAATCAAGTTGCATATCTGGAATCTTGCTTGCCACATTGAGAGCTAAAACTTTGTATATATACTGCCGGTCATCTCATCAGAGGCATTCATCGTTAGAACAGTTGAAAGAGAGAGAGAGAGAGTACCTGGTGGAAAATGGAACCGAAACATAACCAGATATGGAAGGACTGTTAGGCATTTGGGTATCAGCAAGGTACTGAACCAGGATGGAATTATTAAATAGGACCCCAAAATATAAAGAACCCAAATTATCAGGTTTAAGTACATCCAACAGTCAGTTCTCTTCTAGATTTTTTTCCCATTTTCCTTTTTGAGCAGGGTTACTTCTGAAAATAGATATTTTCTTCATTTTCTTCTTTGGTTTTCCTTGGCTAACCCTAAAAGTATGTATACAAGCCTCCCGACCTACCCAAAATGAAGTAGAGAAGGAAAGCAACAAAAGGCATGGTTAGTTTAAGCATTTGCATGGGTGTTAGGCAGTATTCTTTGGATCATTTGAAAACAAGACGTTATCAGCTTCCAAGTATTTGTGTAATGTGTAAGAAACAAGAGGAAGATGTTATACATCTATTTATTCATTGTTACTGGGCAGAATTCCTATGAGATTTCTTCTTTAATATTTTTTATATTAAGAAATCACATGCATCTGATCCAAAAGGAAGGCCGAAATTTTATGGAGTAAATATCACTCAAGAACGAAGCTGGCTCCTGATCTCTGTTACCAGATTGCAAAATGATCCCTTTCTCATCAAAAGTATAAAGATGTTCAGAGAGAATATTTCAAGGATAAGTGTCTTTGAGTTTAGATAACAGGGCAGGTTGGTTTGTAATTGATAGTGTGTATTTTGTTTTTATTTCTATGTTTTATTGGTCAATCCTCATCAACAATCGAGAGCATCTAGCTTTTCTTTAATGAAAATTTTACTTTTACCATAAAAAAATCTGATGTAAGAATTATTCTCAATATAGTTTCAACATAATGTTTCCTTTAACATGCATAGTTGGTGATTAGCAGACAGGTTTATAGGGTATTTAATTTCAGATCTGGTGGCAGGCTGAGTGGAAGGAGGTAGGTAGTAAAGTTTATGGATTTCAGAGGGAAACAAGGTGGAAAATTGCTTGAACATTGATATGAGATGAGCATAGTATTACCAAGAAGAGATTGATGGGTTTAAGAGAAATAAAAGTGAAGTTTGAAGGTGTTCTAATATAGGAGAACCACTGTCATGCAAGCAACCATTAGCAGCCAAGGTGCAGTTTGAATAGCTCTATAAGCAATGAAGTACAACAAGCATAAGCCTTTTTTTTTTCTTGGATAAGTAAGCATAAGCATAATGTGTGACCAGTCACAGCACAAGAGTAGGTGAGAGAAAGGGGGGGGGGGGGAACCTAGAAGAATATGAGAAAAAAAGCAGAGGTTCATAAGGCAATAACTACAAATTAAATTAATATTCATTTGCTAAGCAAAAAAAGACCAAATTCATTCATTCCATCTTCCAATTCCTTAATGCATAAGACATGTTAATCCTAGATCTGTTAAAATAACTACCTGCCAAAATAACCTTCTGCTAATTATTTAGACTAAAGCATGAGACCACCTTAAACAAAAACCATGATTGTTAAAAACATTCTACCGTCATCGTCATCATCATCTAAGCCTTGTCCCAACTATATGGGGCCGGCTACATTAACCTGTTTTGCCATTCCATTCTGTTCAGTGCCATATCCGTCGTTAAATCATGGGCATTTAAATCATTTCTTATTACTTCCACCCAAGTCCTTTTTAGCCTGCCCCTCTTCTAGCCCCTTCAACTTGTAACAGATCACTTTTCCTACAGGCACTGCAGATGGTCTTCTATGACCAAACCATCTCAATGAAAATTGACCCAAACAAAATTCAGTTAGAATCATAAAACTGCCACTGATGAGAAAGAACCTGTGAGATTTCAAATATCTCTAAATCTAGCAATACTCCAAGAGTAACCACCCTAGCCAAAGCCCCTAGTAGGCCCCCTAGGGGATGATGGACCTTTGGGTGATTGTGATGGTGAGACCATAAAGGATGTGAAATGGTTCTATAGACTTGTGGGGAGGCTTCTATATCTATCTATGACTAGGCCTAACATTGCATATGCCATGAGGTCCTCAATAACTTCATGCATGCCCCTAAGGTTACCCACATGGAGGCTGCTAAGAGGATTCTTAGGCATCTTAAAAAGTATCCAGGGGCTAGTTTGTTATTCCAGAAGCATGGGCATTTAAAGGCTGAAGTGTATACAAATGCTGATTGGGCTGGTTCTGTAGGTAACAGGAAATCTACCAGTGGATATTGCACTTTCATGAGAGGAAATCTTGTCACATGGAGGAGTAAGAAACAAAGTGTGGTGGATAGGTCCAGTGCAAAGGCAGAATATAGAGCTATATCCCATGGCATTGCTGAACTGTTGTGGATAAAAAATCTATTAAGTGAGTTGGGATTTGCTATTGATAATCTTATGTCATTATATTGTGACAACAAGACAGCTATCAATATTGCTACCAATCCAGTTCTTCATGATAGACTAAACACATTGAAGTGGACAAACACTTTATCAGGGAGAAAATTGTTGGTGGCAAAGCATGTACCCCTTATGTTAGTTCTGAAGAGCAAATTGTAGTTATCTTCACAAAGAGCTTACATCACCTGCAGCACAATGACTTATGTGGCAAGTTGGGCATGATTGACATCTATGCCCAAACTTGAGGGGGAGTGTTAACAGTACTTGTACTTAAGCCGCAGGGGTTTTTTTTTGTCTTTGTACTCCTTTATTTTTAAGTTGTTGAGACACCCTAATATAAATAGAAGTGCTGGAGCCACCAGCCTATCCTTTTGATCCCAAACAATTGTTTTCTCTCTTCCTTGTGTCTTGAGGGGGAGTGTTAACAGTACTTGTACTTAAGCCACAGGGGCTTTTTTGTCTGTACTCTTTTATTTTTAAGTTGTTGGGACACCCTAATATAAATAGAAGTGCTTGTGCCACCAGCCTATCTTTTTGACCCCAAATGATTGTTTTCTCTCTTTCTCTCTTCTCTCTTCTTCGATTTCTCCAGGAAAAGAGTAAGATATGCTCTCCTCCATACAGGAATCATTAAACAGTATCTAAAATAGAAAAAAGCAGGAAGCAAGACTTACGTCTGCAAAAGATAAATGATGAACTGGATCAAATCTGACTGTGGTAAAGCAAGTTGCTTATCTTTAACTTGTTTCTTTATCTCATCCATGAGATAATTAGCATCTTTCAGATTACCTAGTGACAAATACCTGCCAGGAAAAATATAATCTGTAAGGAAAAACTGACATGAAAATCAAAACTAGGTACAGACTGAAACTAGTGCAATAAAATGTAACCTAATGCAGAATATCAAATAGCTGATGTGTGTGTGTGTGTGTGACTTGCCTTAATATGAGAGAATCAACTAATTTTAGATTTGCCCACTAATAAGTAAGAAGAGGAAACACCACCTCAATGTGTCAGCTGGAAGAGTCTAAAAGAGACGCAATGTCCAGATATGGATGTGGATACAGAGATGGATATGAAAAAAGGAAATGCAACTCTATAATTCCTACTATACTAGACAGGTACAGGTACAGGTATCCCATGAAATATGCTTATACGATGCATTTACAACATGTACATATTTCTATGTCATGGCAAATTTAATTAAATTTCTAAATGTGCATATTTTTATGGTATAATTTGTAAAGAAATACTAATTTACAAATTTAAAAGTGTTAATACTATAGATTACATCTAGAAGTATCCATGTACTATCCAGTATCGATCCAACACCAGTACAGTATGTATGTACAGGTATCCAGATATCATGGTAAGAGAGAAGGAGCTACTCAAAGTTTGAACATAAAGATCACCTTCCAAAACAAAGAGATCTCATATCTCAGTTCCTTGGATCTGTCATCTACTGATCTACAAAACCAAATATCCTTTTTTCCATTTTTCTTAGCTATTCTTCCATCACCATTGAAAGAGAACCAAGGAATAGAGCTGCAAATCAAACCAGGTGTCTTATTACTTTTCCATTTTTTTAACTTGTATATCTTCTCTTGCTTTATCCCAACTCCCAACAATTTAAAGCCACTTATAGTTTCCTTTCTCCTGATGTGTCCTGATGATCTGAAAGTTTGATTTCAGGGGTTTCTTCTGTTGTTCAACAAACTGCAGTCCACATGTAGGGAGAGAGACTATTGCCCATTATATACATGAGCAGAGAGGTCCTTTCTCAGATTTGTCGCTCTTTTCATTCGTGTATTCCTTTTTCTTCTTTTTTATTTGACACCAAGATAATATAATTTGTATTTACCATGAACAGTTATCTGTTTATCTGTCTTTGTAATTTAGGTTGCTCAGATACTTTTTCATGATTACTGTTAGAGCTAGCCGAATAAGGGTAGATTAGTCATTTTATTTCTGTTAAGTTATGTGCTTATGTGGCAGTTTTAATAGAAACTTTCTGTCCCATACTTAAGTGGGGGCAGTTTAGTCTTTGTACTACTAATTAGAGGCTAATCCATATTAAGGGTCGACTGATAGGGTTTAGTCTATCAGGTTCAACTGTTCTCTTCTTCTTCTTCTTCTGCTCTTCTCCTGGTTCGAACTACTGTAGCTACAGGACGAACATGGTATCAGAGCAGGACGTTGCTCTCTAAATTTCCTCACCTGCTCCTTTCTGTTCGTGACCTCATTTTTTTTCTTTCTTCTTTCTGGGCTGAAAAATGGAGAACACAGATTCGACCTAGGTCTGAGAACACTTCAGTCCTTCTGCGCAGAACTTGACTGTTTTTCAAGAAAAAAAAAAACTTCAGAAGTAACCTGAATTGAATCAGGTTACTGCAGTGGCAGTAGTTGATGTTTTCTTTGGACTTGTAGTGCCCTCTGAAAAGGTCAGACAGATCTGTACCATGTGTGACAGCTATGGTTGTGTGGTGGTACTTGTGATGCTCAATCTCTATTGAGCAGCTTCAAGAGGGCTTGTATGTGATCAGTGAGTTGCTGAATTAATGTCAGTGTGATTCATGGTTTTGTGAAATCAGTAGTGGTGTGAACAAGAACAAAAGTTTGTGTACCTATCAACTGTGTTTGRGGACTGATTGATTGTGACTGGCTGTGAACAATAGTGATTGATTGTGACTGGTTGTGAGCCTATCATCTGTGTTTGGGGACTGCTGTAGTGTCTGGAACATCAAACTCCTGACTGCAGTACTTAGTTGGCGACTGAGAATTCAGATTAGAAGTAGCATTGGAAAAGCATCATGGCAGCAATTGGAGATGGTTGTAGTGATCAGAAACCTAGTGTGGTGATTCCCTCTGACTATCTGGGTGTGCAGATGACTTCAATTAAACTTAATGGTGAGAACTATGT